CTGCTCCCCTCAGCAGTGTACTTCATCAGTCTGCCTGTTCTGCTCCCCACTCTGTCTCTGGTGAAGCCTCTCGCTGCCCCTGCACTCTGGCCTGTATGTACCCCAGTTCTGTATGCATAAATAAATAAATCTTAAAAAAGAAAGTTAACAGAACCACATGGTAATAATCAAGGAAATAAATCAGAAAATCTTTAATAAAAAACTAAGAAAGGCACCCCATTGCGTAATTAGCAACAATTCAGCTATTTTAATAAACAGTTTGATGTTGATCCAAAACAGGGGTGCATGGGGACCATGTGCTTTCCAGGCAAAGAGGCCACATCACCAACACCCCCAGCCGACCCTCACTATTTTGAGAAGGGGCAACTTTGGGAAAGTGCATTTCCAAACAAACCTGCCACGAGAAGACAGCAAGGCCACAGGACAGGGGAGCTTCCTCCCTCGGGCTGGGAATAAGGTTCCCAGCTCAGATAATACAGAAGGCCTGGGGGTGAGTTCAGGTGATGGTGGTGAAGTCTAGAAAATGGGGCACTGTGGGGGAAGGCTCCTGGGGACACAGAGGGTGGTCCCAGGCGGGACTGGATGTAGGGTCCCAGCGGCACCTGTTACCACTTTGTTCCAGGAGCCACATCCAACCCCGCGACCATGTGGTGTTCCTTCAGGCGCTGCTTCTTCGCTTTCGTGGGCATCAGCTTCCTGTGGCTCTTCATCACTATGAAAGCTCCTGGGGAAACTGAGGACGAACAAAAGGACATCACTATCCGAGGACAAGTAGCAGCTCTCCCCCTCCATGTGGGAATTGGGGGTGCGGGGTGGGAACAGCATAGACATTAGATACTTAAGTGCGCCTACACGTTTTCTCCTGAGAGCACGGGCCGCTGAGGCAAGGGCCTGCACCCTTTGGCCCCTGAAGAAGCTGCATTTGGAAAGCAGGTGTTAAACGAAGGGGGTGGAAAGGCTGCCCCACCCCTGGCCCTTTGGTCAATGGTCAGGCATCCGGGGGTGGGCTTGGTTCCCTCTGGGGAAACTGAGCCCCTCTACCTCCTCTCTGGAAAAGCTAATGGAATGTCCACAGGAACTCAGCCTGTCTTTTTGTGAAATGAGCCTCATGTTTTGCCTTTGCTGTTGCTCCAGGAGGACAGTTACAACAGAAGGAAGAATCCGTGGCCCATAGAAAACTGGGAGGATATTACCTTCAAATATATGAAGAAACCCCACCAGAGAAGAAAGAGTGAGTTCCAGGGAGGGGAGCAGGGATTAGGAACAGCAAGAGAATTAAGGTAGGTAGGAGGTAGGGAGGGAGGGAGAGGTGAGGGTGGGAGGAAAGGGAAAATGGAGGGAGGGAAGGAGGAAGAGAAAGGAGGAAAAGAGAAGCCAGTACTGTCCCCAGGAAAGTTTGATTGTGGAAGACTAGGCTCTCCCCACCATGACATTTATATAAGGAAGGACTGATGAGGTTAACTATAGGAAGGCAGGCCACTGGATTAGGACATTTGGATTGAGGGAGGCCAGCCCCTTCAGTTTAGCAGATCTGGATTGCTCAAGGGCCAACAGTCTGTGGCAGAAGTGGGACAAGCAGCGTGGTGTCTGACTTCCAGCAGAAGTGCTTTTGAGACATCTTCAAAGGAGAGCTTCGAGATGAACTGGGTAAAAACCAACACCAGTTGCATTGGCTGTACAGTAACTATCACTTGTCCAGCACCTAAACCCCATGCCACAGAATTTTGCCACAACAACATTCACAAGGAGGGCCCTCCCTGGTTGTGCAACGGGTTAAAGCGCAGCACTATGAAGCTCTCCGCAGCCACTGCAGCACGAGTTCAATCCCTGGCCAGGGAGGGGACCCACAGGGTGCAGCAGACCTCTCCTGACCTGCCTGCTGCTCCCCTAACAGTGTATTTCAGCCCATCTGCCTGTTCTGCTCCCCACTGTCTCTAAGGAATTCTCTCACCCCCAGCACCTTTGGCCTGTCCCCAGTTCGTTTGTGCATAAATAAATCTTTTCAATAAGTTCAGAGAGATTCACAGGGAGTTGGCTTCTGAGGTCAGTGCTTCTGCAAATGCTCTTGCTGAGCCTTCTAATCACCTGGTGGTGGCATTAAGATGCCCAGATGCACTTGAGGAAGAGACTCAGATTCTTCAATTCTAAAAAGCTTCCAGAGGCTGAGGTTGCGAGCTAAGGACCAGCCTGCAGTAGCAAGGATCCAGTCACTCCCATGCCCATTGGGGGAATTGTTGCTATCCCACTGAGGGGCGTGTTGATGCTGCATTCGCCAGAACATAGCAGAGTCAGAGTCACAATAACGGAGCTGCAAGAAGTTGAAACAGGAGTCTGGAGTCTGGAGTCTGTTTACTAGGACCAGCTATGTGTCTATATAAGGTCTGATATCCCTTGTAGGTGAGGGGAGTGTGTGTGGGGGGGGACAGGAAATGTACCTGACCTGGAAGTGGGGTGCATGTTTGGACTGGGCCTGGGGCTTCTTGCAGTTTCTGCTAAAGACAATGTTGGGGGCTGCAGCTGTTTGCAGGACAGAGTGCACTGTGCTCTGCTGGCTGGTTTGTTAGCCTTACTGGGGAGTGTGCTCACCCATGCACAACGCCAGCCAGGACGGACAGATACACTTAAGGTCCTGTGGAGTTAGCCCCAGAGAATGAATGGGAAGCAGAGAGGGAAGCAAGGCAGGAGAGACTTCAGCACATGTCCTGGGCCTCTGACCACCCTCAAATCCAGCGTACCCTCATGCTGTCCCTGTGTTGTCTCCCTTAGCCTGGCTGACTGTGGGGATCTCTGTGATGGCGCCATCAAATGAAAGTAGCCTCTTGTCCACACTGGTCTCTGTGTTCCGAGCCTCCTCAAAGGCTGAGCAGAAACGCCTCACCGTGCTGGTCCACCTGGCAGACTCTGACCTCTCCTGGCTCAGAGAAACCGTGGTCCACATTTCAAAATTCTTTGGCCCACAGATCTTGGCAGGGCAGTTGTTGCTAATTCACGCTCCGTCTGATGCCTACCCCAACGTGGACGATGACGGGGACCGGGCTTACCGCAGAAAGTTCTACTCCAAGCAGAACATAGACTACGCCTTCCTCATGAGCTTTGCCAGCCAGCTCTCTGACTACTTCCTGTTACTAGATGACAGTGTCTTTTGCGCCCCCAACTTCATCAGTCACATTCAACGGGAGGTGAACACCCTCATGTCTGAGTCATGGGTGCTCCTGGAGTTCTCCAACATGGGCTTCCTTGGCAAACTCTTCCACAGCAGGCACCTCCCGCTCCTGGCCCACTTCCTCCTCCTCTTCTACAGGGAGAAGCCTCTGGGCCAGCTGATCCCTCACTTCCGTACCCTGCTGGCCCAGAAGGATGTGATCCTAAGCAGGCCTTTCCTCTTCTATCACCGCATCTCCTACTCTGTCCTCAATGACAACCAGAAGGCCCCAGCATTTCAGAGACACCCCCAGGCCCCCGACAACCCACCGGGGACCGTCTTCACCGACATGAAGGTCTTTGAAGCCCACGCCCCCTGGCAGGCTTACACTCTGGATGAGTCTTTCTTCTGGACCTACAATGTCAGCGGGGGGAGCCATCTAACCGTCATTTTGAACCACCCAGCGAACTTGAGGAGGGTGCAGGTGTTGACGGGGTCCATCATGGACGGGAAGCACACCCTGCAGTGGGGACAGGTAGAGCTGGGCTACGACCCGGAGGACGAGCCTCAGCGCTGTGGCAGCTTCGCCTTGCTGGGCCCTCTCCTGCAGGGGCAGATGGACCAGGAGATAGTTATGAAGAGTATGGGGTACAATGTGAGCTGTGTGAGGCTGGTGGCGAAAGCCAGTCAGCTTGGCGGGCTCATGATCAGGCACATTCACCTCTGGCAGGAAAACGCGAAAGGCTTGAGTTGAAGATACACCGGTGAGAGGCTGGAACAGTAAAACCTTGATCTGTCGTGCCTGCATGAAAGCAAGATGCTTCTTTGATCACATCCTGCTTTGGCCCTATCCAATTTGCTGGGCTTTGGGGATCAAGGGGTGCAGAGGCCCAGGGTGCATTTGTGGCTCAGCAAAGGCAGGCCCGGGCACAGCACGGACACTGCCCGTGGCAATACTTTCTGTAGCTCGCTCAGAGCTCTGGGAAGTGGGACTTACCCGAGAGATAGAGGGCGAGTAGAAATGTTGCTGTAAAGTGATGTTTCAGAAGGGTTGTTAGGAAGGAGGCCTTCTGGTGACTGAGTTAAACTGTGGCTTTCAGGCAGACTGAAGGGTTCAAAGCTCAGCTTTCCTTTACTGGTTGAATGACTTCAGGGGCTTTCTTTCACCTCTAGATCTTGATCTCTTCATCAGGTAAAGTGGCGGTCTTCTTGGAAGGGCCCACTGAGAAATCAGAGGTGAGAAGTATGTTGAACATCTCCGGTTTGCTATTTAGTAAGCACTGAATATATATATTAGTCTTTCAGCGTTACTAAAAGAGGCAAGGAGAGATGCCACAGTTCCCAGCAGGGCCGGCGCCTGGCGCCCACATCTGCTCCTGTTTCTTTTCTTTTATTATTATTTTTTAGATTCATTTATTTATGCATACAAGAACTGGGGTACAAGCCAGAGATGCAGGGGGTGACAGGATTCACCAGAGACAGAGC